AATCCCCCCCTTAACAAAACCTTCTCTCCCTTTTTTTTTTTTTTTTTTTTTTTTTTAATGTATATGTATACAGCTTACACTATGCAGTCCGGGCTGCAGCGTGTGATGTGCAGCACTCCTGCCTCTGCAACTAGACACTGCAATTCCTTGCAGCCCGCGGCTCTTATTGCAGTCATCGCAATTCCTGATGCACACCTCAGTCGTGCGTCTGAGTGCACCTTTTGCCACCACCCAAGCACTTTGGCACATTTTTCGTTTCCTAAGTGGGTTCATAAGTGTGGCTTGTGAATTCCTTGCCGCTCAAGATGTGTCGCGCAGCCTGGTGCTCTGCTTGCACATCTTCACCCAAAGACAGTAATTTGTTGCAGCCCGGGGCAATTATTATATTGATTGGGCTACTTGACATGCAGTTTAATTTTCAGCTGGATCTCTTGGCCGTATGCACAGCTTGCTGTCAACGGAGGTCCTGTGGTAGTTCATCGAGAGTGCCTCCGACCTGTAATTTATTCATTGTTTTAATGAGAATAGCCAGGCTGGTGACGCTTCCAGAGTTTCCAGATTCCGAAGAGAAGGCTGAGGATGCAGCTGCATCTGAATGGAGCTGAGCTCTACTGATCGCTCCCCATAGGGTTAAAATGCATACTCTTGATGCCTGTATACAGATCTCTCAGCAAATGAGATTACTGAGAATAAACACACTTTAATCCTTTTAAGCGACTGAAAATATAAATAACATCTGTGATTCCCAGAGGTACGTCGGCATTGGGTTCTCAGAACAAGTCATCACTTTAGTGTGGGACAATAGGCATATTCCTAGCTATGATGCATAAATGCCCTGAAGAAATACATAGTGTCCAGTGGTGATAGTATTATATTTCTAGTGCAGCTTTTGTCTGCCTAGGCATTAATATGTAAGTGCAGAGAGACTCTGCATTGCTCAGATTGCTTCGCTTCCACGAATGCAGTCAGGCTACTTCTGTGTAGGATTTATCTGAACCAGCTCCTGGTCTTTTTAGTCAAATTTTAGATAGATTTAAAAAAAAAAAAAGAAGAAGAAATGGAAATCACCTTCAGATTGAAGGACATGAGCTGCCCACTGCTACAGTTCTTTAGCTTTGTTCAAAAGCTCAAAATCTTGCTGGGGAACAATGAGATTTTCACTAGTGTTATGCATTATATTTTAGTGTTTTTAAGTGCAAAGCCCTCCTTATGTAAAACAATAGATACTGCGTATATCTGATACTGATATTTACTACCCTTTTTTTCTCTCTTTACTCTCTCACTCATCACTGTGTCCAAACTAGGCAGTTTATTAGCCTCTGCTTATTGTTTTAGAGAGGAGCTGACAAACTGCCCTCAGATCAAATCCTAAAGACACTGCTTGAGGGTTCCTTAGCAGATGGTGATGTATTTAAATGCTGGCTTCTCCTTGCCTCTTCTGCCTTACTGCACTTCCTTTTGGAGAGAAACAACCAGCTCATCTCTGTAGCCAGGGTAAACTGGATCCCATGGATGGAACCTAGAAGTAAAGGGCTGTGGTTTCACTTTCCCGCCATCACAATGAAAAGTCCTAAACCTTGTCCAGTGGCCCTCAAGTTACCTGAGTGTAGTTCATCATACATTGTTTTTGTCTTGCTTAGCTAATCTGGTAATATAGTTTTTCTTTAAAATAAAAGATTCTTTGTACTATGTTTTTAAATGTTTGTGTGGTAGATAATTGCCAATGCCATAATTGCCATCACTCTGTTTTGCAGACCCCCGGTGATACCTGACATGAGGAAATAGGTGAAATGTGCACCTACACCTTTGTGTGTGCACTCGATGGCCTCCTTGTGCCATTTGTCTGGGCTTTCCTGTTCCTTGTAGGAGATTTTTGTAGTTCCAGTCTGGCCCATCTCAGAGCGCTGCGGAGGGGCAGAGTCCTGCAGACTTGTATCTTAGCAGGCAGAGTATTGTGGAGCATGAAAGGACGATGTTGTTGCTCCCAGCTGCTGCTCCTGCTGTCAGATTGCCACTTACATGGTGACTTCCTTGGCCTCCTGGTCTCCCTGCAGCCTCCCTCCCCTTCTGTTTGCTTATCTGTGTCTGTGGAGAATATAAGAAAAAGCCAGCCTTACGTAGGGTAATGCCTACGGGGTTGTTGTTCTACTTGACCCATTGCATTAGTTTCCAGGGAGGGATGCTCCACATGCTCTCACTCCCGTTCTTTGTATAACAAATCATGACTGCAACCCTCAGTGGTCATTAAAAAAAAAAAATCACTAACTCCTGGGGCTAGCATGGTCACGCAACACCAGTTTTTATTAACAACGACTCAGCTGCATGATTTGCCTTGTATTGCTTCCATCCATCCTTCGTTTTCAGCCCAGGTCAGCAGGTACTAGTTTATAGCGGTGAGAGTAAAGGGAAACTTTGGAAATGGTCTGGAGTAAATTTAGTCTTGGTCCAGCCCAGGTCTCAAGAGTTCTCTTCAGTTGCTTGTAAACTTGTAGCAAGATACCTTAAGCATCTGCTATGACATCCTCCTTAAACAGTTGAGGGCACCTTCCATCACCCCTGCCTGAAGAAGAACCTGTTACCCGTGACGTGGTAGAACATTATTCTAGCAACTAAGAGAATAAAGAGGATATTGCAACATGCACAGCTAGATTAATCTAGTGTAGAGCTTACAGCTCAGGTGACTGCTGTAAGCATGTCTTGAAAGAATGTCTTGATAATAAGGAGTTTACACAAATCCACGAATGTAGGCAGTTAATAACTGTTCAATAACTACTGCTTTTCCTGATGATTGTGGCAGAAGTATATATGAGTCCTTGCAGCATTGTCTTGAGGAAGGACTTGTCACTAACCATACACTCTGCTATCTCAAGGGGAGAAAATTTTCATCTTTTGCACTGCTATAACTTGTAATGTACCACCCTCTAAGAAGGCTGTACTTGTTTTCTAGAACGAGTAGGAAAGCATATGAAATACTGGGAATTCTTTTAGTTTCTGTAACCAGGAATGTTTTCAGATAGCCTCTATGCTTGTAATCATCTGTGAATGTCTGCTGAGTGCATGTCTTAAAGGGCAGTTTGAAGTCTTAAGAGTGCAATAGAGTGAAACCTTTCGAATATGTCAATATCCAGGCAGAAAATGTTAGGCTTACCTCCTGGGAGAATCTTTGCCCGGGGTGATTTGAATGATTAATCTCTAAAAGGCCAAATCTTAAGGTCTTAGGATCTTTGATCCATTCCTGTTGACTATGATTTCCCCTTTCTCTCTCCCCCTGCTCCCTCCGTCTCCTGGCTTGTTATTCTCTGCTGCTAAAACCTTTATTTCTTGGGCATTAGCAACATTTCCTTCCCTGGATCTTATCCTGATCTAGTCTTTGGAAGATCTGCACCCTTGTGTCTATTCAAACTTGCTGTCTTGTCTCATGGAGACCTTGTTCAGTGTTTGACAACCTCTGTGACATGGTGATTATCAATCCACTCAGTCCATTCCCACGTGCTGGGCCACCTCTCTTGGGCAGCTTAACCCAAAGGTTGCTGAAACAAAGTGTTTTATCATCCCTCACCACTCATCATGACTGTACTTGTCTTTCAGCTTCCTATTGTGGGATTCATTTTAGGGAATGAGCAGGAGGAAGAAGAAACTGATTTGTGAAGGTCATGGAGATCAAGAAACAGTGGGAAATGAAGACCCTTTTTTTAAAAAAAAAAGAGGAGTGAAAGGATTTGTGGCAAGGGAGAGGTATGATGACTTTTAGGATGGGCAACAATAAAGGCTTGGAGGTGTTAACTGAACAGAAACAGAAAAAGAACTAATCTTCTTAGCCTGGTGAAAATAGATATAGCCAGGGTATATTAAGAATAGGAGGAGAGGAAAGGTGTTAATCACCTTTCTGTCATTTTATGTTGCTTTATCTAAGAGAGTAGATGGTCCTTAAACCACAGTGAACTCCCCCATGTCGTACAGAAGCAGCTGGAACTTTGGGATCATGACCTAGCATCTAGAGGAACCCTCAGACCCTGTCTGTCTGTCCCAGAAGTGCTATGTAAGCAAGAGTTACTTTTGTTTAATCCATTCTTCTTCCACACTTCCACCAATGATACTACTTCAGTGTTGGGTAATGGCATGTCCTGAGGTACATGACCTTTTAGGAGAATGGTACCCTCTTGTGTGAGCTAACTGGAGTTAGATAGCTGTTGAGTGGTGCTCCCAGGAAGGGCTACAGCTCTGCCTCTTCCAGGTGTTGTTTTTTGGCTAGTAATCCAAGAAAAAATGCCTTTTTCCTTTTGTTTTACTTTGTTGCTTAGCTATAATGAATGCTGTTAGTGTTCTTGCTCACTGTGCCTTATTCCTGATGAGTGGAAGATGGTAAAAACTGGTACTCCTGTGACTGCCACAAAATCAAGATGAGTGTGTCTGGTGCATGGCAACTGATGTCAAGGAGGGTAAATACTTGCCTAATATTTTGTGATTGTATCTCCCAGCATTTAAGATGGGGGGAATAAATGTCTGCTGCAACTAAATGCCTGCCCCTTATCAGTCGTCTATTATCATCATTCTGAGAGATTGTTAACTTCTCAGCCAGCTCTTAGGAAAACTTAGTGAACTGAGTAGGAAGAAGGCATGTTATTATAATGTGTATTGAGAGGAATAAGAGTTTAGCAGAGTTAACATGCATGGAGAAATATCAGAGTTAACAATAGAAAAAATATTTTGTTTTATAAGGAAAATAATCTCAGTGCACAGTATTACGAACTTGGGGAGGTTCCCACACACAACTATTTCTGCATACAGAATGACTCTAAGGAGCTGCCTCAAACTGAATTATCAGTAGAAGTCAGTTTAGAAAAAATCAATAAAATG